TATATTTTCAATACAATTAAGTCCTTAAATGGGCAGGGTCCAAATGTGATTCCAAAGAGGCTGTTGCCTTACTGGGAAAAATGAATTTTAAATTATGTTTTTTCAAGTTTTTTTGTAAGCACTAATAAACTTCACACACACACACACACACACACACACACACACACACACACGGAAGATGATTTGAAAACCAATGCATGACGGCACCATGAGCCCTTCAAGCCTGACTTGTAACTCAGCAGCAGCCTGAGCCCACCTGAGAAAATCCTTCATGAGATTTTTTTTTTTTTTTTTTCCTGAAACAAGGTCTCAGGTAGCTCAGGATGGAAGAGGAGGACCTTGAACTTCTGATCCTTCTGCCTCTGCCTCACATCCTGTTTTATGCAGTGGTAGGAAGCATGCTCTACCAGCTGTAGACATCTCTAGTTCTATGAGAATTTTTCTCCAGAAAACAGCTGATTTGGCTACATTTACTTTCCTTAAATACATACATAAATGAACACTTCTACTAAATTGTATCCAAAACCTACAGAGTTCCTTCCATATAGAAATCACTCAAAAGGCAAGAAAGAGGCAGCACTAGGTGGAGTAAAGTAGGCAGTCAAGGTTAGTTGCTGTTTTCTTACCTCAGCTGGTAAAGGGCTGGTCATTACAGGTTTGACTGGGTCATGTGACACAGCCAGGGTTCCTGCAGAGGAAGTTCCATTCATTGTTAATTTGGCTGCATCAGCAACTTCTCCATTGGGCAAGATCCCATCAGCAAACCAAACTCTCCTTTGCTCTCTGGGCTGAGCCACTTGAGGGGCCAGGAAAATAAAACAGGTATCAATGTGACATTGGTAGCGCTTCTAACATCAAAGCAGAGGTCACCATTTTGCACAAAGAGATCATTATTTAGCATTTTACTAGCGGATATACGAGAACTATAGCTGCACACAGTTATAGTAGGACTGTGGTTATAAATTAATGTATTCCTATTTAAATATACTTTAATTCTATATGCAAAAATTTTAAATGCTTTGCTTTAAAAACACAATAATCCTTAAGCACATATACGATCACATTACATATTCTGTTTTGCATCACTGACAGAAACCAAGAAAAGTGTTTTAAATACCTAGAAAATAAATTATAGTAGGGAAAAAGATCTAGCAAAATAAATCTGTATTGCCTAAAAATGAGGTTTCCACAGAAATTAAATATTTGGCAAAGTGATATGGTATTTTTAAAGGGCAAAAGATGCTCTGAGGAATGTTGAAGAAACAGTAATTAATAAAGGAAGAGTTGGCAGAGACACATAAGACTCGAAGCAAATGGACCAGATCTTTGGCTAAGGTATAAGTGAAGAAGGAAGAGAGATCTGGTGCTGGCTCATACTTCGCAGAGAGGACAGAAAAAAGCTAGAAAACTACATCTGATGAAACAATCTCCTTAAATCCAGCTTTGGAAATCAGTTTAAATTGTCAAAACAAAGAGCCTTGGAAAGAGCAACAAAAATGACAAACGAAGCAAAGTGAACAAAGACTCTAAGAAAGCAAGCCTGAGCCCACAAAAATGCCAGAATATCATTAAGGGATGATCTAAAAAGAGGTGAAAAGGGGAAGAATTGATAATAGCTACAGAGATTTGAAAGGAAATATTACTAGATGGACAGATATAAAATTAATAAAGACTGACTTTTTTTTTTTGGTCTTTTTTGAGACAGGGTCTCCCTGTAGCCCCAGGTGCTTGGAACTCGCTATGTAGACCAGGCTGGCCATGAACTGAGAGATCTGCCTGCCTCTGCCTCCCAAGTGCTGGGATTAAAGGCATGCGCCACCACACCCAGCCGAAGATTGATTTTAAATATCAAGGGAAACACCTTCACAAGATCATTTTAAGGAAATACATAATTGTTTTTATTATTCATAACTTCCTAAGTTTACAAAGTATCTTTCATAATCATAAAGAAGTGATAACCCCCAAAAGGTTGAGCCTATAATCTAACACATAATATCAGAATTAAAGTCCTGGATTTGAAGGTCTCTACAACATTTTCAAATTTTATAATGGACAGATTAAAAATGAAAAGAGAAAATGGTAATGTATATTCCCCAAACCAAAACTAGAATGGGCTGGCCAATGGAAAGAACTCTATTGCATCACTTGGTAAACTCCTACTAAGAACATTAAGGTAAACGGGAGTCTAGGATTTTACAGGATGATTTCAAATTCTACAACTCTTTTCAGCTATAAGCAGTGTAATTACTCAGCGCTCAAGTTGGAGAGGAAATTGGCATATTTTCAGAGGTCCCTCCAAAATTATCAGGCAATACAATATTTTTTACTTGCTACATATAGTCTTACGTCTCATCTTGTTCTTCCACTTTAATAACCACCCAAAGGGACTTATCTGCAGAGTTTTAAAGAGTGGTGTGCAAAGTCACATCAGCACCTTTTCAGAGGAACTTGGCAAGGGAAAAGAGAGAGAATAGCACATGATCCCCTACCTTCTGTTCCAGGGTGCTTTAAAACTCCCACAGGTACCATCACAGTGGGAGGTGGAGAGCTCAGGGCTCCTGAGGCCTGAGCTTGCTGCAAGGGAGGGATAGTAGAACAGTATTCAGCAGGATTGTTAGGGTTAGGGCTCTGGCTTGAGGCACTCATCATGTTCTCCCAGGCTTGAGCTAAAGCAAATACAGACACAATCAATGTGAATGGATTGCAAAATATGGACAGCAAGACCTCCACAATACTGGATATATAATGCAGCTCCTCCTCATTAATAGTCATAGTATGTCTCTTCCAGCTAGTGAAAGTGTTCAGGAGATAGATGTTTTAATTTAATAAAAGAGACCATGTAGCTAAGTAAACTATTTGGTTGGAACAAGTAAGGATTATATGATATTTAAATGATAATAATAATAACTACAGGCTGTTGATACAGACTGTTGGTAGATAAGTATGAGTTAAGACTAGGACCACAGCTTCTATTTTAAAAATTCAATTTATTATTATGTGTATGAGTGTATTGCTTGCATGTATGTAAGCACTCATATCCTGAAATGCCTGAGGAGTCAGAAGAAAGCATCGAATTCCCTTGGAACTAGAGTTAAGGATGGTTATTAGCCACCACATGGGTGCTGGGACTTGAACTCGGGTCCTCTGCAAGAGGAGCCAGTGCTCTTAACTGTTGAGTCATCTCTCCTGTCCAGACCCATGGCTTTAAAAAAAATTTTTATTTATTTTTATTTTATGTGTATGAATGTTTGCTTGCTTATATGTAAGTACACCTGTGTTGTGCAATGCCCATGGACAAAAGAAGGCATTGGATCCTCTGGAACTGGAGTTATGGACAGCTGTTAGACACCATGGCTTCTTTAGAGAAGATCATGGACTTCCTTAAGAAGGAGGAAAACAACATCAGACGTTGAGGACTCACAACGGGATAGCCTTTCGACATTTTCTGGTTTAATGCATTTATATCTTCTATCAAAAAAATCAGGGGCCAAAACAATCTAATTCCATTTTATAATTGTTTTAGTCTCATTTCTAGACTGTGAGGCTCTTCTTAACTGAGATAAAAATCTCATTTGAAAAGTTCAGAAGCCTAAAGCTCTGGAGTATATCTCTCCTTGTTTCTGTGTCTTATGTTTTAAGGCAATCATCGCCCTGTAGGAAAGTATCCAGCAATAATAACCATTTCACATCACTGGTGTGTCTCAAAAGCATAGGACCTATTTGAACATGAAAATGTGCCAATATTATGTAAGTGTGACCAACCAGTATGATCACAAATACATTTAGAGTCTATATACTCTATGATTTTACTAACTAAACACTTGCATATCAATTATTGTCTCTAAAAGTAAAAAGGATGAATGGAGTTATGGAAATCAAAGACATCAAAATTTTATTTTTGAGGTACAGGTAATATATACCTAAGAACAGAACCACCCAATTTTTGAGCACCTTAAAAAAAAAAAACCCACTCAATATCAAAGAATGATCCAAAAGACTTCGAATATTTATTTTGAATACTTATTTCCTCTAAGGCTAGTAACAAAAGCTATGCTCATTTGAAAGCACTGGCAGGAAGAGGGGAGAAAGAGAAAAGGAGAAAGAAAGGGAAAGAGGGAACACTGAAAAGCATCAAATTAAACATCCAGAAAAAGATCAGGCTAAGCCATGCAAGAGGGAAGACACTGGCAAAACCAGAAGTGGATTACCTTAGGATCCCCTGGTAAGGGCCCCCTTGGCTTAATAAAAATAAGTGATTCCATATGAATCCTCTTCCATTTCCTTCATCTTTAGCTATGTCAAGTTAAAAAAAAAATTGCTACCAAGTTGGAAGACCACATCAAAGAGGTATTAGGTATTGTAATTAAGCCGCATACTCTTGTCTGTGAATATGTGTTCCAAAGTGAAAGCAATGGAATAAAAATCATTAATTAAGCAACTCAGTGAAATAACCACCAACCAAAAAGTGATCCTTAAGAGTACAAAGAATGAGTCACATTTGATAAAAAATATAAGAATTCAGAAATGGGAGGAAAATTAGGTAGATCATAGGGTATTAGAATAGATTAACTGACATGCAGTAGGTTAATAAGCCAGCAACAGGAAAACATCACTATGACCAATGCAGACAGACAGAGCAGGAGGGATCTCAGAGCAGATAAGTTCCAGTCTCCAGGAGCACACTGTCAGGACACAGGCAGCAGTGGGGTCCCAGTTTCAACATTTTGTATTTATTTGTAATTGTTCTGGCAACTGTACAAAGACACATTCAAAGAGAAAATACTATAACCTGTTCAGTTTTACTGTTTTTTTTTTCTACAAGAATATTTAGGGGTTTTGGTTTTGGTGTTTGTAATTTCCTTTTTTCCTTTTTTGGTCTTTAACTAAATGCCCATAGATTCATTTCCAGTACCACAGAAGATGAACAATGAGTAAGTTTTATCTTCCTTCCCTTGGCTGAATTCCTCTCCCATATATGGATCAATTATTTTTAATGTTGTTTTAAAGAAATAACTGGCAAAAAGTATACATTTCTACTTGATCCTAGATGCTAAAATATTTATTTTTAACAAAATGAATGAAACAAGGTATTGTTAAAAAATGTATTCAAAGGTACTAATGTGTTCCCTAGAAAGTTAAAGTTTTTCTGGCAAGGAGAACCTTGGCTCAATTTTAACATCTCACCAGCTAGCTGATGAACAGCACCCCAACCCACACCTCTCCAACCATCTGACAGGAGCATTAGCAGCTACATAGCATGGAATTTCCAAAGGACTTCCTTCTTTCCACAAAACTTACCTGGCTTTAGTAGTCATTCATTAAATAGGACACAGGAAATCTGAAGTGCTATCACACTTTCAAAACGTGAAAGTCAAGCCCAGTATTTTCAGTTACAGGTTATGCCATCTGAGAAGGTGAATGACTAGTAAAGAAAGGCAGGCTTCTGTTACAGTGGCTGAGTTAATCTGTTTAATACTTACCATTCATCAGCACTGAATGGCAGATTACACACACTCTAGCTTCCTTTCTGTCCATGTATAACAGTTTGCATTTTAGACTGCAGCAGGAGGCACAAAAAACCTGTGGGGAAAAAGAGTATATTGAATTTATCAGGATCACAGTGCAAAGGAAGCAAACTAATATTGACCAATAATGATTAAGAGTGAACCATATTAGACTACCATACTAAAAACTTCAAAAGAAAATGGCAATTTAGGAAGCTGGAATTCAAAAACCAGAGTGAGATTTACCAGTTGTCAACAGTAAGGAAATCAACAAAGCTTGCTGAAAATAAAAATATTGGCCATAGTCACACAGCAAATAGATACAGGAGGAAATAAAACAAAGACCAGTTATATGTAGGCAAGTTTCCTGTAACACCAGCCCTTTGAGATAATTGTCTCTACAATTTCTGTTTGGAAAGGAATTATGGCAGCATGAAGTGAACAAAAAGTAGAACTTCTGGGTTTTAAGTTCTATTTTCAATTATTCCTACATGTGGAATAATCACACAAGCTGTGCTATGAAAGACAAGGATCAAAACAGTATAAAAATAAGCATAGCTCCAGCTATAGGAAATCAAAGCAGGCAACCAAAATCAGTCATGCCAATTTCCAACACCTTGTTCTCATGAGTTTAGCTAGGATCTTCCTTTTCCTTTCACTTCATGCAACAACAATCCACTCAGGTTCCTGTTTAGATTTATTTTCTTGAGGATTCGTCAAGCATTTATTATATAGCTTTATAGAGGAAGAAAGCTGTTCCCAGTAAAATAAATTCTATTCTAGGTTTGTTTTTTTTTTTTTTTTTTTTTTTTTTTTTTTTTGAGTTTGAGACCAGGTCTCACTGTGTAGCCCTGGCAGGCCTGGAACTTGCTTTGTAGACCAGGCTGGTCTTAACTCATAGGGATCTGCCTGCTTCTGTCTCCGGAGTGCTGGGATCAAAGGTGTGTTGCCCCAGCGTCCTGGAACTCACTATGTAGACCAGGCTGGCCTTGAACTTACAGAGATCCGCCTGCCTCTGCCTCCCAGTGCTGAGATTAAAGGCGTGCGTCACCACACCAGGCTCTATGATAGTTTTTTAAGGCCAGGGACTATCCTATGCCTTATAAAGTTGAACCAAGAGCTGAAAAGTCCTATCAAAGTTAACATTACATGTAGGATCTCCTTTCTTACTATGTAAAACTGACATATCTAGTTACTATTATTACCAATGTAGCTTCCAAAGGGCTTTACATTTCAAACAACTAAGATAAATGAAGACCAGAAGGTCTGGAATACTTCTTCCACGTGGAAAGAAACCATTGGTTTTCCTTCTTGCTCTTTAGCCTTTCATTTTTGTTTTTCGGAGACAGAATTTCACTCTGTAGCCCAGGCTGGCTTAGAATTCATCATGTAGCCCAGGTCTGCCTTGAAATTACAGCAATTCTTCTGGCCAGCAACCAAAGTACTAGGATTGCAGGTGTGAGTCACCACGTCCAGCTAAGAAAGTTTGTTAACTTTTCTTTTTAAAATATTTTATTTATTACTTTTATTTTATGTGTACGTGTTTATAGCCTGCACGTAGGTTAAGTGCACCTGTGTCATGCAATGCCAGCGGAGGACAGAAGAGGCTATTGGCTCCCCTGGAACTGGAGTTATGGACAGTTGTTGGCTGCCATGTGGGTGCTGGGATTTGAACCTGGGTCTCTGCAAGAACAGTCAGTGTTCTTAACTGCTGAGCCATTGCTTCAGCCCCAGGTTTGTTAGCTTTTCATTACTTGGACAAAATAACAGAAAAATAACTGAAGGGAAGAAAGATTTTATTCTGGTTCACAGTTTTGTATGTTTTGATCTACTATGGCAGGAGGATGTGGCAGAACAGAAAAGCTCATGTTATGGTGGCACATGTGTTGCCTGGTTCACTTAACCCCCAAATTCTATGAAGATATTACTTTACAATGAAGAGTTAGATAACAGATGGGTGCTATGGTTTCAATGACCATTTCTTTAAAACTGATTATGGGCCCAGGCATGGTGGCACACGCCTTTAGTCCCAGCACTTGGGAGGGAGAGGCAGGCGGATCTTTGTGAGTTTAAGGCCAGCCTGGTCTACATAGTGAGTTCAGTCAGCTGGGACTATAGGGAGACCCTGTCTCCAAAAAAAAAATGTCCTTATGTGGGGGCTGGAGGAATAAAGAAAACAACAACAACAAAAAAAACAAAACCTGATTATGTTAAAATCTTAATACCCAAAGTGATGATGATATTAAGAGATGGAGCCTTTGGGAGTAGTCAGGTCATGATCCCTCATGAATGTGATTAGTACCCTTGTAAGAGGGGCCTGAGACCCTTTGTGTTAGGCCCACATGAGGTCTAAGTGACAACAGAGTGACGTTATGCAAACCCACACCCCAAAACATTTTGGTTTTAATATGAAATGTGCCCCATCACATATGTATTTGAACAGCTGATTCTGAGCTACGGGCAGTGTTTAGGGAGGATAGGGAGCCTTTAGGAGGGGAGGTTTAGCTAGAGGAAGTGCTGACAGACAAGCCTTGTGTGCTAAAGCTCAGCCACAGTTTCAGCCCAAGTTCTCTGTTTTTTTACTGCAACTGAAATGTAACCAACTGCCTCATGCTCTGTTACAGTTGTGAACTACTGCCACAATGCCTTCCCTGCCGTGATGGACTACTTTCCCTGAATCAGAACAAATATATCCTTCTGTAACCATCCTGACAAGAATGAAGATATTCTAAAGATACCTATGCCCCCCATCTTTCACACTGCCAGACAACTGAAACAATAGTCTCCACTCCAAAATGGAATTTTCTTAGGACTCTCATGCTAGCAGAAGGAAAAAGCTGAAGCCAGAGAAGAGCTCGTCTCCCAGGAAAAGATTTCACACAGTTCTGACAACTTATCACCTTGAAGCTGAGACTGGACTGGAGAAAATGATGGGTCAGTGACAGGACAAGTTGACTAGGACTGCTTAGTTATGCATAACTCTTTCCCTCTATTTAAACCTAAACCTCATGTAAGGACTCAGAAGATGGATTCAGGGGACTATAATTCTGCTAGCATGAGATTCCAAGGAAAATTCCATTTTGGAGTGGGGACTGTCACTGGACCTCTTGCTGTGTTCTTCTTCCCAGTGTGGTAGTGTTGAATATATCTCCTTTCTTTGTTTTTCACTTGTCTGTTTAATTGGCCTATTGAGGATGGGTGGACAAATCTAGCTTGTTAGGGTGGTCAGGGTCCCAGTTCTGACTCTAGCAACTCTGGGGGTAATACTTCCTCAAGCTGTTTCCTTCAGGTATTCTGCCACAGGATGAGTAAAGTAATAAATACAGAAAGTTGGTCACAGGAATGGGGCCACTGCTATGATAAACCTGACAATACAGTTCATGGGCCTTTGGAACTTGGCAGGAGGCTGCAAGAAGAATTTGGTGCTGCAAGCTAGATAAGCAAAGCTTAATAGATGATTTTGGTGGGAATGTGGAAGACCAGAATGTCAACAAAGATGCTGATGATAGGCTTGGGAAGATGGCTCAGCAAATAAAGTGCTTGCTATGTAAGCATGATGACCAGAGTTCAGATCCTCAGAACTCACATCAAAACTGGGTGAGTATGGCAGTCCACCTGTAATCCTAGCATGAGAGGCAGAAACAGGATTCCCTTCTGCAGCAACCTGGCTAGCCAGACTAGCCAAAACAGCAAGCTCTGGGTTCCACTGTAGGACCCAGAGATCCCCCTCATTCAACCCCTCCTGACACCACACTGATTGCTCTTTTCAGCTTCTGTGTAATGCTTGAAATGCACACCTGCTGCTACTCCTCCCCTGCTGTTCCCCTTCCAGGAAACTATAGATTAGATAAACCCAGGTATGAACACTGCTCTATAGAGTAAAAATAAAGACTCCTGACCACACAGATGGCCACCACATTCCACAACCCTGATAACAACACCCGCCAAAAAAAAAAAATCTCCACGACCGCATCCTGTACAAAGGTGTGTTGGTTCAAAGGTGTGTTGGCACAAGCAGGACTCTTGGACCAACCACAAAGTGACACTGTTATTCACCTCCTCCCTTTGTCTCTAACCTATAGAGCCCCCACCCGGGGCTCCAGCACGTTCCGTTATATCAGTGTGGTCTGAGAGCCCGAGCTTAAGCCCGAATAAACTATAAACCTTGCGTTTGCATTTTTGGTATGTTGGGTCCTTGGTGGTCTTCTTGGGGTCCTGTGAATGAGGTATAACACCATGAGAGATACTGCCTCAATATGCAAGGTGGAAGGCAGGCAAGGATAGCTCAGTGGGTAAAGGTACTTGCCACCAAATCAGAAGATGATTGATTAAAGTGTCTGCTGAGAAATGCTTTTTTGTGTAATGACTGTGTGGGCCTATATAATCTGTACCTGAAACTGAATGGGGGTCGATCGTTCTGACCAGACCTGCGTGTCTTGGGAAGCCGGTCGGCCCCAGCTAGCTGGAAAAAGTAAAGACTCTGCTTGATTTTTACATCTCCAATCTGGTGTGTTTGTTACCTGGAGGGGACCCATCGAGTCACGGACCCTAACATTTTGGGGGCTCGTCCCGGATTCGAGGGGGGACCCCTGGAAAACAAAAGACGGGTGGAGGCAGAGTTTCATACGAGGAAGGCCCTCGTAACAAGTCTCGGGTTCGAGTCCTGAGCAGGGAAGTCCAGGTTCGAGTCCTGGCTCTAGGGTTGGAGAGAACTGACTCTGGGAAGGAAGCTTAACGACAGGAAGCTGGCGCCAGAAGTGGAAAAGGTCGAGCTCGTAACCCTACTGCAGTCCGAGTGGACGCCCTTCGGGAGAATTACCAGGAGCCTTGGGAATCTGGAAGGTGAGAGTGAGAGTGGTGAATGCGGCACGCGTCAGAGTGAGAGGAGGAACGGTCCAAGTGAAAGTAGTGAAATGTGGTGTGGATGTATGCTGATGGTTATGCTCCTTATAGTAGGAGTGGGATTGGTTCTGTATTTTTCTATACGCACCTGGTTCTAAAACTTTTTTTCCTCTCCATATACTGTTCCATACTTGGGACCAGAGTCTTCGCGTGGGACCGTTAATGACAAAGGAG